TCATCTCCTTGGCCATTCCACAATACAACTTTGGTTTGGCTTACACTGTCACCTTATTTGATGGACTGTGTCCCAGTAACAGAATTTATGGTATTCCCATTGCTGGGTGTACTTATAATCCTTTGCTTCTACAGCATTTGTCTCTCCTAAGACAGTCAGACAGCTAACTGGTCAGGGGATGGACTTCATCCTTTATCATGTCTCTTCAATTCTATTAAATAGACCACTCTTGGGCTTTACACCAGGAAAAAGGAGACAACTCTAGCCGTCTACCAAGCATCACCCTAAAAGGTCACCCGTACTTCTTGGTCTGAGAGTAAGCCTCCAGTAAGGGAGAGGGGAGGAAAATGCTTCCTGTTTGAACTGCAGTGAATTACTACGGCTCCTGTTTCACCACCCGCACCTATGGCAACTCATATACATACATTCCTCTTGTCTGTAACTGCCAACGGTTGGGTTTATGTCACTTCAGTTCCACTCAAGCATTGAAAAGGTTCTCATAGAGTCTGGGGTGTGCCCAGTGAAAAGATAGGGACTTTTTCATTATCCACAGACCTCTCTATACCTGCTTTGCAAAAATTATAATGGAGTAACTATTTTTAAAGCTTATTTTTCAATTCATAAGAAAAAGACATTTATTTTCAATCAAATGGATGATGTCTCTTATCCCTTATTCCTCAATGTTTGCTTGAATTTTGTTTCTTCCCTAGACCTACTTCCTAATTCTTTAGTTCTTTCCTGCTCAGGTCCCTTCATTTGTACTTTGGAGTTTTTCTCATGTAAATTTGTATAATGGAAAATATTGTTCAGTTTGGATAGAAAGCATGGAGAATTAAATAAAAAAAGATAGCTGAAAATCAAATTGAAATTTATTTCTGTGTAAAGTTATTTAAAAACTCTGTATTATAATTTAAAAAAGGCCCCCCAAAAAGTGCTATGTAATTGATGTGAATATGCAAATCCTGCTACAATAAAGACTGACTGCATGGAGAAGCCTGACGATTATCTTTCTAGCATTGTCATCCAGTAATAGCAGGCACTGGCTGCTGACGGTCATTTCCAGGCTAAGATACATACTTAGTTTCATAATGTTGATTACTGCTTGATGGGTAGAAGTTAAGTTGGCCGGATTCCTGCATGGTCCAGCCATCTTGTAAGACTTTATCAAGTTCTGATGAAGATCCTCAAACATTTAACAGGGTTGTGAGCTGCACCTTTGGTTTAAAGTGACTGGTCTCTGTGCAACCACACAGTTGAAAGTCTAATTGAAAATTTTAAAGCAAGTGTATGTGTAGAAATCATCTCAGCACTGTTTTTTTTTTTTTTCTTTGTGACACAGCTTGCAATCACAGCCTTTCTACAGTAGCACAGATTTTGGTCCACAAAAACATCTGAAAGTGAACTACTCAGTGCTGGTTAACCCATCAACTTTATGCATTTAATTTCAGAATCTCCTTTATTTTGAAAAACACTTGAAATAACTTCAGACAAAATATATCAAACTACTAGACAGTTTCCAGAAAAAAAAAGATGCTGGCCTTAAGACTCCAGACCTGGAAACCCTGAGAGCAGCATGAAGGGTACTTGGCAGGAGGGCACGGGCCTGAAGATCCATTTTTGACCTTTCCATTGTGTGTGCCCCTTCAACCTACACATGCTCTCAGCATTTTCTGAACCATAGTTTCCTCTGCTGAGGGGAAAAAAATTATTCTGTATTTACAAACTGGCTTTCTAAATGTCTAATTACAAGAGTCATTTTTCAATGTATCACACATGGAAGTTTTCCATACAATTTATCTCAGGATTATGAATGTTTTACTTATCTTTCAAAATGCTTTCACAAAGATCTCTACCATGCCAGCTCTTCTAAAAGGGCTGTGATCACTGTATCTTACTGTCTGGGTTACATATAATCTCCCAAACTCACAATACTGATTGAGAGTCATTTAAAGAGAGAACCCTCACCCCATGAAACTGAAGGCCGCGACTTACGTAAGCATCAGAACCCATTAGTACACAATGGGTTTGTAATGAAACCTGGGGTGCTGATGTCCCAGAAGTGAATACAGCTAGAAGGAAGGGGATGCTTGCCAGACAATGCTGCACTTGCACTTGCTGTCTTTATCAGTCAGGTAAGTCACTGAAAATGACAGCAGGTGGAGGTTCCTTAAGAAGGTCCCCACAGCAGCTTGGGCTACTCAGTTCCCTGACAGAACATACTTGTGCCCTGCAGATGGCAAGAGAGTAGTGGGCAACAGAAGACCCATCCTGTTCTAGAGAACAGGTTTGGGGCTGGAGGAGCTTTCCTGTGAAAGTCCAGGGTAGTCAGAAACGTAGCTTAGATGAAATGTTCTAAAAACATTAGTCACAAAAACTAAATAGTTGCTTTTATTTAGAGCAGTGGTTCTCGACCTTTGAGGGGTCAAACAACCCTTTTATTGGGGTCACAGAAGACATCGGAAAATGCAGACATTTGCATTACAAGTCAACAGTAGCAAAACCACAGTTAGGAATTAACAGTGAAAGAAAGAACTATGGCTGGAGGTCACCACATGAGGAACTCTATGTTAAAGGGCCGCAGCCTAGGAAGGTTGAGAACCACTGGTTTAGAGAGTATTTCTTTCCTGCTAGACAGAGTCTAAGCTGTTTTACAAATGAGGAATAAGTTAAGGCACAAGATTAAAGTTAAGTACTTTCTCATGCACTAAGAGCAACTAAAACAGACTTAGGGTCAGACCTGGCTAACTGACCTCCAGAGCTTGAAGTGCTTATCTGTCTCTCAGATTGTACACAGAGACCCACAAGTAGGTAGTTAAACCAGTTTGGGATGTATCCACTGGCCGTGTTTTGTTGTTTTGGCTTTTTTCTACTAACAGGAAGAGCTTGACAAATTTCCAACCCATCTACCCATAACTCCACTTTATCTAGTAAAACAGAAATAATACTGTAGCCGGGCGGTGGTGGCTCACGCCTTTAATCCCAGCACTTGGGAGGCAGAGGCAGGCGGATTTCTGAGTTCGAGGCCAGCCTGGTCTACAGAGTGAGTTCTAGGACAGCCAGGGCTACACAGAGAAACCCTGTCTGGAAAAAACAAAACAAAACAAAACAAAAAACCTACTGTAAAGATTGAATGAAATACATGCTTATAACAGTGTCTAGCCTGTGCTACAATTTGCTGCTAATTTCCAGTGTATGTTACCATCAATAAATGCTGTACTTAGTGTTTCTATGGGACCCTTTTCAATTTTAAGGTATTTTCTCACATGCTACACAACCATGTAGAAGGCATTTCTTTGAGAAGTTTGGGAGTTTTCAACATGGAAATGAGTCCAACATTCTTTTAACTAAAAGAATGTATTTAAAGTTACCTGTTAAGTAACTCTTTGCTTTTAAGGGAAAGAACTAATGGGATTGTCCTGCTTAAACTCACTGTCGTGGACTTGATTCTGAGTGGTTCTACTGCCTTAAGGAGTAAGAGGGTAAGGACTAGAAAAGAACCACTCTGCTGGTCTTTAAATTTTTAAAGCCTCTGGATTAGTTAAGCTTGCTCGCACTCACACAGATGTGAACACAGCCCCATGGAAGTGTCCCCACTGCTACAGCTGGGCCTCTGTGGCTGTCAGTGAGAAAGTCAGCTGTCCCACTTATTTCAGCTTCTACTGCTACTGTGACCTCTGTGGCAACTGAAGAAAAGGAAGTAGATATCTATGTTATAGGTATCATATTCCAACTTGAAGCCTGCAACCACAAGTTGGTTGGGGATACTTAATGACAGACCCAAGCTTACGTTTACCACCCAATCCCACCCTCTCCTTATTTATTCACAGCCACATCAAGCTGTCTCTCACACAGAGCCTCATCTTACTCAGTACAGCTAAACCATCTGTGATTTGAAAAGGTTTGACCCCCATAGACTCTTGTGTTTGAAGGCATGGCCCATGGAGAATGGCACTATTAAGAGGTGTGGCCTTGTTAGAGGAAGTGTGTCACTGTGAGAGTAGGCTCTGAGGTCTCCGATGCTCAAGCTACACCCAGTGTGGCACACGGTCTCCTGCTGCCTTCAGATCAAGATGTAGAACCTTTTCTGCCTGGATGCTTCCCACCTTGATAATAATGGACTAAAATCTCTGAAACTGTAACCCAGACCCAATTAAATGTCTCCCTTTATAAGAATTGTCTTGGTCACGGTGTCTCTTCACAGAATGGAAACCCTAAGACACTGCCTTACCATATCATCCAGTGGACTTCTTTCAGAGTTCTGATAACTTACTACCTGTCATTCCTTCTTAAAGTCCTCTAAAAACAAAATCCTTTTGTTTGTATGATTTTGAGACAGGTCTCATTCTGTACCCCAGGCTGTCTCCAACAATCCCCTGGCCTCATTCACCACAAGGCTAAAATTATAGGTGTGCAACTCCATCCCACCCCCAAATCCTGGCACTGTACTCCAGAGGCCAAGGAGATCAAAAACCTAATAAGTAAGTGCTCAAGCTACATTACACCAGACTTTTCTCTGTAGATGGAGGAAAATTCTGTCTTCCTTATAACTGTTGTGGTACCACAGAAAATGGAAGGGTACCCTGGAACAAAATTAAAAGTACAAAATCTTAACCTTTTCCCCATTCCTAAGAAATTCTAAGTCACGTGTGACTTATGAGTCCTACAAGAGGCCACTTGTAAGCAATGAACTCTCCTGACCCTTAACCTCTGGGGCGACAACCTCTGGAGCAGCTATATGGTCATATCACCTGTCAGCACACAAGGAGGAGGCATGGTACTCAAGTTATGTATAAGCTTAACTAGTCACACGTAACCTAACTGCACACCAGTGCGTGATGCTAAGCAAAAAACAATCTTGTTCCTTGATAGTCTCAAAGAAAACCTACCTATATCAAAGGGGACCCAAGAGGATCAGTTGAAAGGGTACAAACCACTTGGACCAGCAAGCAGTTAGAGAATAAGAAATAAAGGACAGTTGTCATCAGAAACAACTCAGCTCCTCGGTTTTGGAAAGCCACTTTAATTTACACCTTTAATGAGGTCTGTCATTTCTTGAAATGTCTCACCTTGCTCCTGTAGGAAAAGAAAAGTAGTTAGGTTTTAAGAAAGATTACATTTACTAATCCAGATCCAGAATCTTGTTTATCCAATTAAGCATCTGTTTGAGCTCTGAAGCCTTTCAGGAGAGAGAAGCAAAATCACCCTTTTTCCTCCAGCCATTAGAATTAATTCTGTCTTCCATTTGAACAGTGAGAGTGAGCATGCTTTTGCAGCCACATAGCATAACCTCTAACCACAAGTCACCACTGGATTCCAGGAACCAGACAAGAACTGTCTTGCTGTTCTTTAGTTGTTTTGCTTTTTGAGACAGGGTTTCTTCGTGTAGCTATCCTTGGAACTCACTCTGTGGACCAGGCTAGCCTGTAACTCAGAATCTGCCTGCCTCTACCTCCCAGTGGCTGTTCCACCACCCAGCTGTTCTTCATGGCAGGATCTTATCTAGCTCAGGCTGGCCCAACTCTGTAGTACTGTTGTCTGGTCCTCCTGCCTCCACATCCCGAGTGCTGGTATTACAAGAATAGACCAACAAGCCAAGCCTGGTCCTTTCTGTTTCGTTATACTATTTCGTGCTGGCAACTGAACCCAAGGACCTACCAGTGCAGAACTGACCTGTCTTTATTCAATGGGTGGAGAGTATTCCAAAACTAAAACATTAAAAATACTTTTTTGTTTTTAATATATGATAAAAAGAAAGAATAAGGGGGCACAGGCTAGCAAATATGAAAATGGTTACACAGAAATGGTGGTTGTGCTTCATGCTGTTGGAATATGCTTGTTTAAGGCCATCAAGAGTACAAAAACAAGTCAGAATTTAAAAAGCTTTAGAGGCTGGAGAAATGGCTCATCAGTTAAGAGCACTTGTTGTTCTTCCAGAGAACCTGGTTTCAATTCCCAGCACCCACACAGCAGCTCACAACTGTGTATACTCCGGTTCCAGAGGATCTGGTACCCTCATACAAACAAGCATGCAGGGAAAACAGTGCATATAAAAAATGTATCTTTAAAAACAAAAACTTTAGCGGGGCAGTGGTGGTACACGCCTTTAATCCCAGCACTTGGGAGGCAGAGGCAGGTGGATTTCTGAGTTCGAGGTCAGCCTGGTCTACAGAGTGAGTTCCAGGACAGCCAGGGCTACACAGAGAAACCCTGTCTCCGGGAGAAAAAAAAAAAATTAGGACATACCTACTTGTACAGAGAAGAGTTTACACTTTCAGTCCTCATCATCAGGAGGGATCCCCAGTTCTTCATCTGTCCACTTCGAAGGATCTGGATATGAAAAGTGACCCTGGTGACATCAGATCAAAAGAAAACAAGGTCAAGGGTCTGTACTCATAAATGCAGCTAATTACGTTTCAAAATAAATCTTGAAAGAAGAAACAATGTAATGACTACCGCTAGCACCTGCCATACATAGCATGAGCACTCGCCTCCCTTAACCACTGGCTCAGCATCGCATGGGGCTTGGGGCTTGGATTCTTTTAGAGGTGGCAGCCTAAGCCACTGAGTATGTTTATGATGGAGTTTAATAAGTGGAGACCACAGATGTCATATACACTCATCTCAACAATATCTCACTGGCATGGCAAACCAGAAATGGTTACAAAAACCCTTCCCTCCTGTTGTGAGGCTGGGGAGCCTCAAGTGGATGTAGTCTAGTCCTGACCTGGAGCCCTATCTGCTGCAGTATCTACTGCCTATGGCCTAATATGACTGACATGCAGATGTCTCCTACAGGAAATGTGCAGCCAAAGCTCCTTCCCCAGAAGCAAGGGCACAGAGAAGTGCTCACAGGACCGAGCAGAGCACCCTAACAGTTGTGAACCTATAAAAACTTGTGTAGTGCCTTTGTCTACATTTTCTTATCGCCCATGTGGCCTTATGCATGGACATACCGTGGACAGTCAGACCATCAACTTGTGGAGGTCTGTCCTTTTTCCATCACATGGGTTCCAAGGATGGAACTCAGGCTGTCAAGCCCAAAGGGCCTTTACTTGCTGAGCCATATCACCAGCTAACGACAGTCTTATTACTGAAGAAGCTATTTAAATTGGATTTTTTTCCACCTATCCTGAAAAAAACCTAAATTTACTAAAATTCAAGGTGTCCTAGATTCATAAACCTCAATGTCCATCTTTTTTGGCTTCTTTTAGTGCTGGAGACTAGACCCCAGGGGACTCATTCTTGTTAAACACATGTTAAACAACCAACCTCAAGATTTCAGTGTCTTAAAGATGGAATTTCCTAGTCTAAACAAGAGTCTATGTATATGTGGTAAGCAACAGAATAACAGAAAGTCACCAATAACTCCCTTTCTCAAGATGAATTGTCTTCTATCTAGTACAGCAAGTCTAGCTGCTCTGGGCCTCTGGACAGACTAGAGGATGTTAAGCATTTAAAAGAACTTAACGCTGGCTGTGGTGGTGACTGCCTAGTGCTTAGAAGGCAGGGATGGGAGGATTGTGGGTAAGGGGCAGCCCTACCTATATGGAAAGTGAGCACAGCCTGGGCTATATAATACCCCCCAAAAAAATTAAGTGTAAATTTGACCCACAAATGAAGATAAGTGTAACTCACCAATCCTAGAATTACTTTTAACACCCCCCCCTTCCTCACATGGCTACCTAATGGACACCACAACTCACAGATCCCCAGAATGTACATCGTCATATAAACAGGTCCAAAAGTGACAAGTTTCACTAGGTAATATGGCAATATGGTGGTAAAGGGATATATCTGGACAGAAAAAAAATCTCCAAACATAAGGTAAGTTATCTATGCATCTCCCCTCTCCTGCTCTCAAATCAGGACTAGAACTATTCTCCTGTACTTACCAGCACAGCATCCGAGTCATGCCAAAATCGCCAAAGAATCCAGAACCACATGAATGAGCTTAAGAACTCCGCCTGGATCACCTGGGACTGGGTAGGCTGGGGAAACTCCCTGTACCGGGGTGGAGTACCCCCGCCAGCACTAGAAGACAAACCAGTAAGAAAAATGGCTTCTTTCCCCATTTTCTCAACTTTCTATAACATCCTTAAAACTGAAGCACCTCACAAAAATACAGACTGGCAGGCACCCACTTCCTTTACATACTGGCTTTTCATTTGGCTTGCCTTAAACTTGGTGAGCAGGAAAAGTAGCTGAATTGACAAGAAGCCAGTGTATGGTTTCATTTAGTGAACAGTCACCATTTTGCACCAGAAATATTAGTGATGATTATGGGGTGCTACCCCAAAAGTCTTGTATGAAGCACTGTGAAACTGAAGTAGTAGGTAATTAACTTACCCTCCTCGAAAAAGAAAATCAAAATTATTTTTGTTCTATGTACTTTCTCTATGTACTTCAGAGAAATACACAGTGCAGTCTTTCTCCAAGGACTGTCACACAGAAGACAAGCACTGGAGCACAGTCCTGTAATCAGTGTTTGGGGGCGGGGGTAGGGGGGGAAGGCAGGAGGCAGTTCAGCATCAGCTACACCGAGAGTTCAAGGTCAGCCTGGGCTGCAAGACACCTTATCCCAGGAAATGAAAAAAAAAAAAAAAAAAAAAACCCTTAAAAGACTATCATATGGGAAAGTGAATGAGAAAATCTTTTTTTACAACTCTAATATCTCTGAAGAAAAGCAAAGAAGCTGCAACGGTAAGCCTGACAGAATCAGCTAGGTGTCATGTAGGCATTTATTGGCAAGCTGTGGCACACAATCCTTAAGGGCTAGACTTATTCAACTGGGCTGGGCTGTGGTACGTATAAGCTGACTCTAATGTAAATGATGTGATTTATACTTAATGCAGGTATTTCTATGACCTACTCAGTGGCAAACCATATGCTGATTCACAGAACCAGATAGAACAAGTTCGAGTGTGCCTATATAAAATGTTCTATAATTTCAGTCCAGCATAGCAAAAAATGCACTAAAATTTCCTGTAGGTTCCTGTAGAATTTGCAAATAGCAATATTCCTATGGTTCTTCCCCAGCCTCTGCCCATCTTTTTGTCCTAGCAGAAGAGGAGGAGTCTTGCTCAATCACTCTCGACCACATCCCCTTGAGATGGGATCTCCCACTGAGCCTGGGGCTGTGCCCAGGGAGCCTCTTGACTCTGTTCCTACAGCACTGGGGTCATATGTGCAGATGGCAGCTCGTGACTCTCCCTCTGGGTGCTGGCATCCAAACTCAAGTTCTGCCACTTCTGTTCTTACCCACTGAACTAGCTCTTGAGCCCTGATGGTTGTTGAAAAACTGGGACTCTGTATTATTCTCTCCCATTCTGAAAGATTGCTGGCAGGTATTTATTCAGTACCATGTGCAGGTACCACACTGGACTTTGTGACTGTTATCTGTTGTCTTAACTTTATAACTTTCAGAGACAGATGCTGTGACTTACTGTTTTACAGATGTGAACACAAGTATTTTGATGACAAAGCCCAAGAATGTTGCCTATATGCAAATAACATTAATAATTTTGTTTTTGTTTTTCATTTTATTAACCAAAGACCTAACTCTTGTGCTTGGGGTATAGTACAAGGATACAGTACTTGCCTAACATGGGTTTGGTCCCCAGTAACACAGAAAAACAAAACGTAACATAACTCTTTGTTGAAATTCCAATCAGCCTAAAGCCATCTTAGTGATAAATATTTTTGTGTAAGTATTTGCCCAGCCCATAGTACTTTCAGTTGGAAGGCTCTGAATGAGATCTTAGTTATCGATGGTAATTATCAATGGTGTGAAAGGTGATTTTTTAATGAGGCAACCTCACCATGTGGCCCAGGCTATCCTTGAATTCACTATTTACCCCAAGTTGGCCAGGAACTCATCATCCTTCTGCCTCTGCCTCTTGAATGCTGAGATTAAAGGAGTACTATCACCATGCTCTATTCTTTTACAAACAGTATTTCCTCATGTAGCCTAGGCTCTCCTCAAACTCCTGATCCTCTGGCAAGGCCTCTCCACAGCATGCCCACCTATTACTTTTAGCCATTCTGTCAGGTGTCATTGCTTCACAACTTAAAGACCACAGCGGAGCTGCTTCTGTAATCCCCTGCATGCCAACTGTATTTAACAGTTATTACTCAAGATCTATCTGTGCAGCCAGGCTAGAGTGGTGCATGCCTTTAATCCCAGCACTCTGGAAGCAGAGGCAGGCAGATCTCTATGAGTTTGAGGCCAGCCTGATCCACAAAGTGAGCTACAGGACAGCCAGGGCTGCACAGAGAAACACTGTCTCCAAAAAAGAAAGAAAAAGAGGAGGGGGAGGGAGGGAAGAAGACAAAACTTCAACAAATACTTTTTGTCAAGCTACAAACCAGAATAAATGCACTGTGGCAATCTAGATACCCTGAGGAAACTTCCAATTAAAATAAACATGATGCTAAATTAAATAAATAAAAGGTTTTCAAGAACCAATAACCAAGCACAAATGCCTGGGAAGCAACTACTGAAGCTGGCATTCACAGGGATTCCTCTCAGACAACTAGGAGACCCGAGACAAGTGCTCTAATCCTTAGACTTCTTAATCAAGCTGTAGCCCCATAATGAAAGGGCGAAGAGTACTAATAAATCAACGGGAAGGAAGCTGGAACTTGTTACCAGAGGCCAAACTTTAGGCAGGTTTGCACCCAAACTATACCTGGGTTGGACCTTTTGTGGTCAAAAAAAAAAAAAAAACAAAAAAAAAACCAAGGGCTAGAGACTTAGCCAAGCCGAATAGTGGAGCCCTCCTTCCCCAGTTGGAGGTAAGGGAAATCCAAGCAAAGGATTTAGAGTGTGACTGGACTGGAGGCATCCTCAAGAAGGTCAGAGTATGGAGATCTTAAAAGAATTCTCGATGGACAAGACCGGCTGAGCTCAGTCAAAAGAGAGACTGGGGGGTTCAGAGGGAGGAAGAAGAGGGGGAGAGAAAGAGAGAAAGATAGAGACATCAATACAACAAAATAAAGCTATGAGTCTTAAATCTCCGGTGGAGAGAAGGCAAAATGGGTAAGACACAGCATCCAATCTAGGATCGAAAGTGCCAAATTTAAGCACCGACTTGGGGGCACTCCGAAGGCAGAGAGGCAGGAGATCACTAACGAGTTCCAGGACAGTCGAGGCTACATAGTGAAGCTCAAAAAAAGCGCCAAATTTTAATGTTAAAAATGTACCTAATGGTGAAAATAACAGACTTACTACCTTACTACCTTAAGGTCTCCTGTGGCTGCCCAGGACTGTTAGAAAAATCCTCAGTTCTCCAAAGCACTCGGCCTGGCCCCTTCTTGTCTCAGATCCCATCTCCACGCGTCTCTATGGGCTCTGGACATCCACTCCACTAGTCAGCTGCTTGGAAAGACTCAGGCCCGGAGACTGTGTGGGGCTGGATTCTAATCACTCAGGTCTTAGTTAACGCCTCTCTCCCGCAACCCTGCGCCATTCCATCCCCTCTACCCCACCAATCCGACAAAAAGGCCACAGTCTCGGTCCAGGCCGACTACAAGACCCAGCATGCCTCTGGAGGCAGCGGAGTGTCATGCACCGGCCCGGGCGACTGCTTCAAGGTGACGCCGTCCAGATGACAGCGCTGCCTGTTCAAGCCGGCCGAGCCCTCAACCCCACCCGACACTCACTGACGGACTCCACCGTCTCCAGCCGCCCGCGCGCGGCAGCCCAGGAGCAGACGGCTTCCGACGCGACTGAATGGTACCAGGCGGGTCAGCGCAGACATACTAGCAAGACAGCAGTTCCCACCCCTGATGCGTCACTTCCCCGAGTCCTGGCCCGTGACGTCACTGCGTCGCGCGTCTCTATGCTAATGGTAGGCCACAGGGGACAAACGCAAGCCGTTTGGCGGACCTTGGAGGCTCCGGGTTAACGAGCAGATAGGTCGTCCTTCAGGAGGAGCTCTGGCTGCCTGGTGACACAGCCTGGCAAGGTGGCCTTGCCTGACCTTACTGCTGCTCCCCGCTTTGGCTTATATAGACGGTGCTTTCATGCATGTTCTTGCCATTGCGGGCCCTTGTTAAAGGCCTAAGTCCTTTCTGAACCATGCCATGTTTCTTTTATAACATCGTTGTTTCAGCATTGTTCTGAAACCTGATGACTAACTGGCATCTCAGAACGTGGACCGGTGCATCAGAATCACCTGAGGAACCCAACCCTGCATACTTGGAATACAACGGCCAGGAATGTGGGTGAAGCTTCCTAACGCCTTAATCCTTAGTCAATTCGGGGTTCTCGTTATTATTGTAATAAGCAAGCAGAAAAACAAGGACATGAGGGCAGACCGGTTAAGACCAACAACCACCAAGGTGGCAACAAATCTGAGACCTGACCTCTGCCGTAGAAATGTACTCGCAGTGGGAGCTGTAGCACAAATAGATGCGCGTGGATGCACAGATGCGCTGTCTCCTCCCTTTAGTGGGGAGAGAACATGAATTTTCAAGCCCAACCCCACAAAACAAGACATACATTTCTGTTCTGAGTAACTAAGTCTATAGGACAGCCTACTGCCATCTCTGAATAACTTTAATTTTTTCTTTCACTTCCGATTTCCTTAAACAAAGGCTCCACAGGCTATTAACAAAATAATCCTCCTTCCTGGGCCTGCTTTTATCTCTCAATATTGCCTCTGTCGAAATCTGGATTGACTCCAAACCTAAGACTACTCCTAACAACCCCAAGAGATTGTGAGAAACAGGCTTTTTTTCTATAAAATGTGGCTAGCACACCAAGGGCCAATACTCTAAAAACCTCCACCTTGTAAAATTTTTATTCTATTTTAATCATCTGGAAAACCTATTTATACAAAAGCCATTCATTCTGATGACAAGAGCTACGGACCCCTTCCTGCCCTCCTTCCTTTGCATCTATTAGGAACTATCCAACCATGGCAGATTCTGAGGTCTAGCCCCCACCAATAGGATGAGACACAGTCATCACCTGTGTTACAATAACTACAGAACTTACTGCCCTAGTGTGCTTACAAGGCCTGTATGGGTTATAGCACACACTTTTTACCAAAAATAAAATAAATAAAAAGTCATTGCTTTGCAAGAGTACTTTTGATATGTTCTAGTGGGTGGGTGTGTGTGTGTGTGTGTGTGTGTGTTGCCAGCAGTATTGATTCCAACAAGGTCTTCCCTGGTATGTTATGGTTTGGATTTGTTTGCAGAACATGCAGTTTTAGGTTATAACATTAGCCTACCAACATCACACATCGCTATGGTGTTTCATATTCAAGAGTTAAGTACTCATCTGTAGGACTGCAAAAGGGTATTCTGGTTCATGGTTGGGCAGGTGCCTAGAACCCCGAGACTCTGTGTGAGAACCAGCAGGAGTTTGGCGTGCCTCAAGAACTCAGGGTCCTGAAAAACAGTCTAGTCTCCTTAAAGCTTAAGTCACATAGGCCGGCCATTACAGCCCCTGCCAAAGTGCACAGGTAGAGGATGTGACTAGAGGCCTCAGGGCCTAGGGATTTACATACTAATGAAGGCCAGAGGGCGGAGCAAATTAGGCATGCCTCCCCAGATCCTCCCCCATCCTCCCCCTTTCTCCCTCCCTATTTAACTCAGGACTGCCCTGAGTTCTACGGGCGTACTTCCAGATCCATCCACCACCCGCCATGACAATAAACCCTTTTGGAACCAAGGACTTCCTTGTGTTATTGGGACCTGCCGCCGCCAAAGCCTCCAGGCCATTGGAACCATAGATGTCCCTCCAGCATGTGGGACCCGAAGCCTCCCCGGACCACCACAGCTGCAGCTGCCTCTATTTTTTCCCACACTCATCAAGGCCAGACTTGAATTTAGTGACTTGGAAGCATCAAATATGACTAATAACTTGCCTTCTGTGCCAATATATGGGCCTGTTTGCCCTTATATGTAACAGGAAACCTGTCCTAGGAGTTAAACCCAAACAAAACTCAGGATTTTGAGTGGTGTTATGTGTGGGCTCACATGTACATGGGCATGCATGCGGAGGTCAGAGTACAATCAATCAGAAGTTTATTCTCTTCTGCCATCTGGGATCCGGGCTTACGTTATTTTTTTATTTGTATGTGTGTTGTTACATCTGTGAATCTTCCAGTGCCACTGCATACAGGTGGTCAGAAGCAATCTGCAGAAGTGGGTTCTCCTTTGTTATGGAGGTCCAGGATTGAGCTCAGGTCAGCAAGTGAGGCAGCTCTACACACCTTTACTCACTAAACCGCTAAGCTACTTCAGTGGCTTTACTAAATCTGAATAGTTTTTCTTTAGCCTTTAGCTCCCCAAAGCTGCAGTTCTAAAGACAATAGCCCCTCCATTTTCTAAACCTGACTCCATCCCACCAACTTTTGGCTTCCAAATACTGACTTTTGACTGGCAAACTGTGTCTGCTAAATAGAAGCCTTAGGTTGAACCCTGAATCTGTAGAATTCTATGGATGGAAGTTGGCTTTCCAGTTTATATTCAATGGCATGGTTTTCTCTGGGCCACTGTCCACCATTCCTTTTAATAGCTCATACAAACCACTAAGAGACGACAGTTCATGAATGGAGAGAGCACTTTTCAGTTCTTTCTGGAAAGCTCACTTCTCAAACCACATAACTATCTAGCTCTAGGCAAGACCACAGAACAAACACAGCTTACATTTCTAAGAGGTCAGAGAGTGCCCTGAGATGTTCAGTGTGTAAACAGGTTAGCCATGAACACCTGATAGCCTGGATTGTTACAGACATTTGAATCTATTTCTAGTTGTGGTGTGAATCGGCCCTTAGGACACACATTTTTTTTTTTTTTTTGGTTTTTTCGAGACAGGGTTTCTCTGTGTAGCCCTGGCTGTCCTGGAACTCACTCTGTAGACCAGGCTGACCTCGAACTCAGAAATCTGCCTGCCTCTGCCTCCCAAGTGCTGGTATTAAAGGGGTGCGCCGCCACCACCCGGCTAGGACACACATTTAATCCCTCTGGCTAGAACACAGACACACCCTTAGCACTCACCTTTAACCCCAAACGTGAAGGTAAAGTTAGCTTGTAGAAGGACGTGCCTGTGTTTGAAAGTGATGTCTAATTGAGTGGCAGACAAAGTGATGAATCAGAGAAAGATTTGACAGAATAAAATATGCCCAACTCTCACGAGAAGAGAGAGGGAAGGGAAGCTACTTAAAGGGGAGACAGCACAGGACAAAGAAGGTATAGTACAGAAATAGAGTAGAGTCCATGGAGAGCAGTACAGTGGAGGAGAGAGAGAGAGAGAGAGAGAGAGAGAGAGAGAGAGAGAGAGAGAGAGAGAGGAGCAGCACAAAGAGGGAAGAGGCAATTTTACCAGAGAGTTTTACAGAGACAGATTGAAAAGAGAACAAGCTAGACACAAGTAAAGACAGAACAAGCAAGAAAATGAGGAGGAAGCAGAAGTTAGAAACAATCGTTAGAGTTAGTCTGAAGTCAAGCAGAGCAATTCAGAGGCTGAGAGAAAAGCCTGGTTGAGTAAGCGTTTGAGCCAGAACAGCTGAGTTGAACTAACCAGCAAGAGTTTAGAAAATGGTAGAAAGGGTGAGCTTATTCAGCAGCAAGTCTCAGAGGCTGAAACCATTCTAGGCCCAGATTAGATTGTACAGAGGCTAGAAGCTTCCAGGACTAGGTTTAGGTTAGCAGACAGAGACTGTAAGCTTCCCAGACAACAATTACAACAAAATAATAAAATAATAAAAGTTATTTTTATAGGGTTGGGTTCTCCTCAGAATCCATGGTGGAAGGAGAAAACCAACACCTGACATTGTCCTCTGACCTCAACACCCACATGTACACATCACACACACACACAGAGAGAGAGAGAGAGAGAGAGAGAGAGAGAGAGGCTTAGAAATTGGGAGAAGGGCTTAGAAACTGGAAGGCATCTAGTCCAAACCCCAGCTGTGGCAATTAACCTTGTAAATTAGGACAAGTCATCTTTCTCCCCTGAACACCAAAGCCCTTCACCTGCACAAGTCACTTAAGAGATTATCAGGCACAGAGCTTGTTCTCAGGAAAATTCCTATTTCTTTGTTACTCTCTCCTTTCCTGTTATTAAAGTATTACAGGTAGGCTGAAGTTCATTCGCTCTTGAATGTGAGTGCTGTCTGCACATAACACAAGAGGGCATCAGATCCCACGTAGATGGTTGTGAGCCACCATGTGGGTGGTGGGAATTGAATGCAGGACTGCATTCAGCCACTGTAGTGTCTCTCCAGCCCTCACGCATCTTTCTTAGTAAGTCACAGAAAGGGGATGTCTGATAAAAGAGAAACAATGCTTACCTTATTTCCTAAAAGCTTGCTACATTCCCCACCCCCCAACAACGAGAGGAAGTTGTTGGCTCCACAGCAGTCACTGATGGGGTAGGTGGGGCTGAGGACTGAACCTGGAGCCGCAAACCTGGAAACTGAGCCTCCACTATGGACCTATACCACCAGCCTCGTTAGTTTATTTTAACATTGAAAAATACATTCAGGAAGAAATTACCAAATGTTAAAAATTGTCAAGAAGATAATTTGAACTCCATTAAAACTTGCCCAAATTGCCAATTACTATGCCTTCAAAATTTTCCTAGTATTAACAGTGCCCATATAAAACTTAAAATGACTTTCAACTTTTTGTCAAATCTAGACCTTTTTTATTTTTCACCCGGTATTTCAAGACAGGGTTCCTCTGTGTGGTCCAGGCAGTCCTGGAACTCACTCTGTAGACCTAGGTGGCCTCAAACCCAGAGATCTACCTGCCTTTGCCTCTCAAGCACTGGGATTAAAGGTGTGTGAAACCACTGCACAACTGTATACATAATTTTCAAAAACATTTTTGGAAATTGTGGTCTACAGGATTTTATGGCATTTTCTAACCTAAGTATAAAGGTAGGAACCACCAGCAAAAAGGACCTAGCAAAGAGTGCAGCGAGTAGAGAAAAAAGAAAAATCGGCAACAGGATGGCTGAACTGAAGGCATTTGATGCCAGGCCTGAAGCCCTGAGTCCAATCCCTAGAAATCCCTATGGTTCTCATCACCACAGCCCCTCCTCCTACATAAGTACATGTAATTTAAGAAAGGGAGAGAAAGAAGGAGGGAAGGAGGGAGGGAGGGAGGGAGGTACAAAGGACAGGTTGGAGAGATAGCTCAGTGGTTAGTAGAACTTTGCTGCTCTTCAGAGAACCTAAGTTCAGTTCCCAGCACTCACAACTGCCTATAACTCCAAAGGACTCAATGCTCAAGCCTGGCCTTCAGTAGGCATCTGCATACACATAGATACACTCAGACAGACAGACAGACAGACAGACAGACAGACAGGACACACATACTTTTAAGGAGAAGAAAACAGAAAAACAAAATAAGTAAATGTATTTTGTCTTCTTCTACAGACTAATTTTCCTGAAGTAGTGTCCCTGGCACCAGTTTCAACTTCCCTCCCTTTATACCCTAAAATAACCCAAAGTTTTTTAAACAGACTCTGAAGCTAGGTCACTGGGAAAGTGGTGGTGATTCTGCCACACATCCCAATTTTAGGTGTCTCAGCTGCCAAAGGACGGATCCTCGGGATCTGCCCTGACTGTGTGTGCACTGGCACGGTCACAGGAAGGATGCTGGCCCTTTGAGGAGGAAGGGCTTTGCTGCCTCTAGGATGTCCAGCGTGGGGTCCAGTGAGCGGCCAAGCCCCTCCAGCACCATGATGGCAACCACAATGGAGGCGAAGTTGCTCTCCAGCTTTACCTGGAACAGAAAAACAGCAGTTCTTCCCCGACCTCAGATGCAGCTGAGTGCCCTGGACAACCACATCTCTGAGGCTCGCTTGTGCTGTCCATGAGATCCTCTCATCTCCTCACCTCCCTCCCCGCAGTCAGGAGGGTATGCTAGGGCTACTAGTGGCACCCAGGACAAGGATACATCCCTTACCTAAGCACCATTAACAAAAGACAAGGAGGGAAAGAACAGAAATATCTGACTGGACACTTTCTGTTTGTTTTTTTTGTTGTTGTTGTCTTGGGTTTTGTTTTTTTGTTTTTTGGTTTTTTGTTGTTGTGTTTGTTTGTTTGTTTGTTTGTTTTTCCGAGACAGGGTTTCTCTGTATAGCCCTGGCTGTCCTGGAACTCACTCTGTAGACCAGGCTGGCCTCGAACTCAGAAATCCACCTGCCTCTGCCTCCCAAGTGCTGGGATTAAAGGCGTGCGCCACCACCGCCCGGCCAAGCTGGACACTTTCTACATCTAAAGATTACTGCACTTTGACTGCATAGATTGAGATATCCACAGACTTTCTACATCTAAAGATTACTGCACTTTGACTACATAGATTGAGATATCCACAGACTTTTTTCTGATGGGACCACAAGCCCACTGGGCCTGCATCAGAAGATAAGAAAACCACATTCACTATGCAAAAAAAGCTGAGGAACAGAGGGTTTACCCACTCCACTGCCTGTGCCCTACTCTACCATGTTCCCCAGACTTCCCTCTAACCACGCCTCACCTTATGCGTCATCAGTAGCTTAAAGACGCTGGCCAGGAGACTGGAAACATGAAGCTGCAAAACAAAAGGTCCCGGTAGAATCCCAGAAACATCTCTTCCCCTTCCAGGCTCCTGTCCTTTGACACTTACCACTCCCCACTGCTACACTCACAAGTGTGCACACATACTACCCAACAAATATCAAAAAGGAATTTACCAATAGAGGCCCCACTCCCACCTCAAGTTTCGAGTCACAAATGCCCGAAGAGGAAACCTCAGAGTCATGTCCACCCATGCTTCTCCCCCTCCCTTGCCACACTCAGATCTTCCGTGAGGAAGCACACTAGGGTGTATCTAGGCAACAGAGACAGAGGCTTGCCTGGTATATGCACACATGCGTGTGCGTACATGCGTGTGTGCACATGAATGCACATGTGATTTGGGTTTTTTGGGTTTTTTGGTTTTTGGTTTTTCGAAACAGGGTTTCTCTGTGTAGCCCTGGCTGTTCTGGAACTCACTCTGTAGACCAGGCTGGCCTCGAACTCAGAAATCCGCCTGCCTCTGCCTCCCAAGTGCTGGGATTAAAATAAAATCTTAAAAAAAAAAAAAACCTACTTCTGGCTGGGCAAAGGTGATGCAAGCCTTTAATCCCAGCACTTGGGAGGCAGAGGCAGGTGGATCTCTTGAGTTTGAGGCCAGCCTGTCCAACAGATCAAGTTCCAGGACAACCAGGACTACTCAGAGAAAATCAAAACAAAAAAACAAACAAACAAAAACATACTTCCTTGTAAACTCCCCACAAAGGCCATCCCTCATCGCCCCTTATTCCTGCTTAAGAGCAGCTCTGACCAATCACACACCCTCCCTACCTTTTCCAGTGTGACGATGTTCTTCCGGGCCTGGGTCACCAGTGTAGCCATCTCAGCCTTAAACCTTTCCACATCTTTGCACTCATTGGCCTGGGCATGATGCAGCATGAGCTCAGCCACTCTGTGGCCCTGGAGGGTGCAAAGGAAAGCGGCCTTGTAGAGCAGAGCAAGCATGCGGCGTGCTCTTAGCTCTCAGTTGCTTCCACCTGGGTTTTCTACAGCCCAGTTCTCGTGCCCCAGTCCCTTTCAGCTGCTACCGTCCACTAGGCCCTTTTAAGATTTTAAGGACTCTGCTAAAACAATGATGCAGATTTCTCCCTCTTACAGGGAGTACTTCCATGACCATGATGACCACTGACCCAGTTGGAGCCACCAGGCCCTACAAGCTAGGCTGGAGGGGGTGAGCTTTCCTGCTCCCTTTGAGGCAGACTTGTCCCCAGATCCCTGATTCCCTCCAACCAAAGCACCCACAGTCTCTCGGGACACAGACTCCACAGCCCTTCCCTGGTGATCCCCACACATATTGCACCCCATTGTCTAAGGAAGATGGCCCCACACATACTGTACCCCATTGTTTAAGCAGGAGGCACATTCAAACGGGCTTCATGCTACAGCTTTACTTGGCTTCTTCAAAAAGCCAATCAGGGATGCCCCTGAATCCTGCTTCTCTTAAAAACAGCTCTCTAGCTGCGAGTACTGGAGCACATCATAATTCCAGTGCTCTAAGGCAGAGGCAGGTGGATCCTTGTCAGTTAAAAGTCAGGTCCTGTTTCTAAAAAGGCCCTCTTTTTTTTTTTCTCCAGAGTTTTGTCACAGGAAACTTCTATACTGTGCAGTCAGAAGTGTCTTCCCATCCTACAACACATCATCTGAGCTTCACAGAAGCTCTGTCTAACTTTGTGTGCTCTAGTAACTTCCAACCTCCAAAGCCCCTCAGAGTGTTTGGGGGAAGCTACTCACACCCACACCACAAAAGCCAACCATCTTGCCCCACATGGAGTACATGTTCTCTGTGACGTGGATCCTTCCCACCCTTTACTTTGCAGCAAAGATCACAGATGAAAGACAGCCATTGTTTGATCAAAAAGCTAGAGCGGCCAGTGAGATGGCTCAGTGGATGGAGGTGCTTGCCACCTAAGCCCGATGCCCTGAGTTCAATTTCTGAAGTGCAGGGCTACAGGACAGAACTGACTCCCAAAAGCCTTCCTCTGCCCATCACATGCTCATCATGTCTTGTGTGCACCTGTACTCACACCTCACATATAAAATAATCAATAATCTTTAAAAATAATCTTCCTGTCACTGCCATGCCAACAAATTTGCTGACAGAATGAGAGAAGTTACAGTTGCAAAATACATGAAAGAACGCCTTCCTAACTATGGGTTCCAACCTCAAGCTGTCAAGCCAGAGGGCCAGCACATTGTCCATGCCCACACCTGTTCCACTCGAATCTAACCACAGCATTCTGGCAACCGTGGGCTTTCGCCAGTGACACAGGATGAGGAGCAATACATTCAGTTCCCAAGAGCCTAAAAGCCCAATCCCAGTGGGTCTTACCTGCCCCATCACTACAGCCTGGAAAACTGCCCGGAAATTCCTCAGGTCAGAAGCCTGCAATTTTGCCACAATGCCAGCATCCAACAACACCAGGCGCAATGGGCACAGGGCAGGTGCTATGGTAGCCACCAGTGTGTCACAGACATTCACCTGCTGCTGTTGCATCTCCAGGCTTGGGGACACTCCATCAGCACCCTGGACCAGGATGTTTCCAGGGTGTAGGTCTCCATGCACAAAGTTATCCACAAATATCTGGAAGAGACTGTACATTCAGGTCTGTGTCAACCCTCCCACACTAACATCACTGGAATACCTGCAGAAAAAGTTTTAGGGGACAGTGGGCTGCCTGTGTCAAGGCAAAGAGGTGGGCATTTCACAAAGCCCTTGCTGCTGGATGCTGTAAAACAAGAATTTGGGCAGGAAATTTTGATTACAATTGGTTTGGGTTTTAATTTTATGAGACAGGTCTTGTGTCACCAAGCCTGACCCTCATCTTCTGATAGATCTTCCTGTCTCTACCTCTCAAGTGCTAGAATTATAAGGGCAGAGAATTCAGAGTCCTGCCCCCAGGCAGTAGGTAACAGAACTAACATCTGGATTCAGATAATACCAGATCTACTGGTAGATCACCTGGGTAGACCAGATAGCTCAAATGTGCCTCCAATGCCTGAAATGACAATGTGATTCAGACAATACAAGGCAGCTCTCCCGACCCTCCTGACTTCCTTCTCAGAACCGAAGCAACAATTTCAAACCTCCCTGTCTCCTCTGCATCCCATCCCATTGGTAGACAACCTCAACTCTTGACTCGCCAGTCAAGAAGCCTCTGAATGCCTCTCCACTCACTTTCCCTGCCCTTTATCAGCAGGCTTCTCAGTTCATCATTGGGTGCCAAGTGCTATCCTATGTGTCCTGAGTATTTGGGAGCATCCACAGCCTTCTTTTACATACCTGGTTCAAGACACATCCCAGACTCAGCTCTGACCACTAATTATGTCACCAAATATAACAGGTATTTCCTGGTGGTTCAAGGTGCACTGAAGTACCCTGCTGCAGCCTTAGGGAAACAAAAATCCTTGTGATGAGACCAGATGCCTGCTACTTATCCCCCCTCATCCTGATGTACAGGAATGAGAAAAGCTCACTGAGGGCTTCTAAGATGAGGAGGTCCAAATATATTACAGAATCAACATAAGCCCAGTGTGCCTGTGCTCAGGCCATAATCCTATCATCCCAGCATGGCAGTGCACTCAGGCCATAGCCCTGTAATCCTAGCATTGGAGAGGTAGAGAAACTAGAATTAGGAGTTCCAAAGTCACCGCTACAGAGCAAGTTCAAGCCCAGGCTTGGCTACATGAGACCCTGTCTCAAAAAAGAAAAAAAAGAAGACTCACCATTTGCCTCTGGACTCCCCCACAACTCACCTCCTGCCTCATGTCACTCTGCCAACCCAACTCCACCCTGAAGTCACCATTGTCATGACTAATATATATGCCTCATACTCCTCCACTGTCTGATCTCTATTAAAGAATGATATTTTAAAATTCATTAAGGGGCCAGGAAGCTAGCTCGGTAAGTAAAGGTACTTGCCACCAGGCCTGATCACCTAAGTTTGAGCCATGTTTGAGCCTACATGATGGACAGAGAGGACTGCCTCCTACAAGTAGTCCTGTGGCTCCTGTGTGCATGCCATGTGACATGTGCAGGCTCACAAATATGCAAACACACTAAAAGTAACTTTGTTTTTTTAAATAAAAGTTTGGAGCTGGAAAGACGGCTCAATGGTTAAGAGCACTGGCTACTCTTCCAGAGGACCTGAGTTAGACCTCCATCACCAGCATGGGAGCTCACAACCATCTGTAACTCCAGTTCCAGGTTACCTAACGCCCTTCTCTGGGTACCAGACAAACTTAAAAATTAAAACATTTTAATAAATTGAAAATCATGCAAATTTAAAACTTCACTAAAGATGGCGTACTTGCCTTGGCACAGGCTGTTGTCTCTAGACAAGTCCACCATTCGTCTTACCATGGTTGACACAGGCTCCCCACCCCAACCCTCGCTGACGTGGAGCTACTTCCTGAATGAAACCATGGGTCCAAACAAGGTCCCTTCAAGCTAATCTTCGGGCACTGGCCCATGATGCCATGTGCTTCCTCCTCGCTAGTTTACCCAGTGAATACTGGGGCCGGGTCTGGTTAACACTTAATTCAGCACTTAGCAGGTGCTCCACAAGTACTGGAAGAATGAATAAAACAGTACCTAACATGCAGCACCATGGTCTAAACTGTGTGCTTACCACTCTTCGACAGCACACAGAATGCACATCACAGAGCAAGGACTCAGCACAAGCTGTGGGTCACAGAGGCGTCCAAGGAGGGGCTCCACTCAGCTGATGTTCCTGACCTGCAGCTCTCTGCTTGGCTGGCCCTTGCAGCTCATGCCCAGCAGAGACCCTTAAACACTCTGCCTGGGTCCTGAGCCTTAGGACCCAGATAGACCCTGAAACTTTCCCTTCTGCACTCTGGCCATGTCCTGAGCCTTGGCACCCAGGAAGCCCCCTGCTCACCATCTTCAAAAGCATGTTGATCCCCAGCTGTGCGATCTTCCTCTTCAAGTCGGTTGGAATTCCTGCCTGCTGGTAGCTGGACACTGGAACACTCTCCTTAAAGACAGCAGGGAGAGATCTTTATCCAGACAGCTGTCCCACCTCCTCTCCTGGCCAGGTCACACATCTGTGCTGTCTTCCTGTTTGTTACTCACACATTGGTTTTAATCTATTTATATCCCTTCATATACTTCTCAAAAGAAATGCCCAAGGGTTGGCAGCCATCAACTCTGCTACTAAGAGGAAAGAGATGCTTGAGGCCCTGGGGAAGACAGGACCAGGTGCTGACAGTCAGCCAGGAGCTGGGCCTGGTGGCACAAGCCTGTAACCCCAGCCCTGGGAGGCAGAAGCAGAGGCAGGAAGAACAGGAGTTTAAGGTCATTGTTGGCTACATAGAAAATTTGAGGCCAACCTGGGATGAGTAAGACTGTCTCAAAACCAAATAAAACAAGAAAATAATAACCCAACAGAGACATGAGCTGGGGCAGGGGAAGCTCAAGCAGGGAAAGGGGAAGGGCAGTGAGAAGAATGAGCAACTAGCAAATCAACAGTTGGCTCAGTTGTCAAGGCAACCCACTGCGATGGAGCGTAACAGAACAGCTCAAAGTCTAAGAACAGGCCCAGAGTTACACAGCTAGGAAACATGTCCCTGGACATCACATTACCATTCGATAGAGGACAGCTAAGGTAAATATACTCTCTCTGGGTCAAATGTGTCACTTTTCAATGTGTCACTTACTCCTGGGACAGCACCATGAGTTAAGTCACCAGCTAATAAGCCAGCAGAGTAGATTTTCAGTCTGAGGCTTCGGTCTGAGGCTACCTGCAGCTCTCGGGACCAGCTCACCCCACGTCCTCACCTGGTCCTCCCAGGCTTCGGGTGTACAGTAGACTGGGTTTTTACAGTGTTGATAATGGACCCAGGGCCTTGCATGTGCGGACCAAACCCTCTACCACTCCCAACCTCCTCCCAGTTTTACCAAGAACCACATCTTCTCTCCAGCCTGAAGCCTCTGTGGGAACAGCCAGTTATGGGTAACAAGCAGAAGCAAGTTCTTACTTCGTACGTTTCCACCAGGATATCCCTAGTGATGAGGGGGTGCAGTGGGGTGGGGAATCTCACAGACGTCATGTCCTGGAAGTTGTGCTGAAAGTGTTCCAGATTCTGAGCTTCATAGCGCAGGTCTATCTGCAGGGATGGTGGGGAAAGACGAGAGTTAGTATGGATGCATGGAGGACTTCAAGACGCCAGGGGGACCAGGTCGGCTTCCTTCTGCACCGGCTTCCCTGGCCCCTACAGAATACCAGGAACCTCAGAGAAGACACACCGGGCAGCTCAGAGCTACCACAGAAGGCGCTAACATCCACTGTGCACATGAGCCTTTGATGTCATCAGATATCAGACATCAGATCCTTTGGTAACATTTGGGTCCCCTTCCCACCAACCAAAGGACACCCTGCTCCATCTCCCAAGATCTGACTCATGGCCCTCGTGAGTGGCCCAGTGCCCAGCTAGTCTATCCCTGTTCCCCTCTCCTTCCATTATGATCAACGTGCTAGAGCCACTCCCACGTGGGGATGGCCTTGCCCTCCACCCACTGGGGCAACCGCTACGGCTGAATGCCCAACCCCATTTTTATTTTACTGAAGTTCCCAACTTACATCCTAATCTGTTTGACTATATCCATGCCATGGGAATGGTGATATCCACACTCTCTAGATGTTTTTTTAATTTATTGATATGTGTGTTTTGTGTGCATATATGTATGTTACCACATGTGTGCCCGTTGTCCATGGGAGTCAGAAGAGGCTGCAGTGGAGTCACAGAAGGCAGTGAGCCACCGTGGGCTTGGGGGTAGTTGTCTGCAAGAGCAGCAGGTGCTCTAAGCACTGAGCCATCTCTCCAGCTCTTCAGAACGACATCTAGGTGGCTGGAGATTTGGCTCCTGCACCTCTCTAGATCCTCCTCTTTTGGTGACCCCCACCTTGCTCTACCATCCCAAATCCAGCCTCGCTCAAGTCTTACAGAGTGCTGGACACTCAGACCGCCTGACCTGACACTCCTCAATCCTGAGAGTCTGTAATAACAACGACGACATGACCATACAAATGACCAGAGACTGACCGCAGACACACACACCCAGCCTGCCAGGTGCTGGGGCTGGTGAGGGTCAGAGCTAGCGGGAAAGGCTGGTTTGAGACAAATGGGTAAGTATAGAGATGAGAGTTTCAGCGGTGGGACGCTGATGTCTTTCAGGCTTCTAACGGGAGCTGAAGCTCAGATGGGAGGTGAAGCCAAGAGTCAAAATAAAGAGATAGTGGCGAGACTAGAAGCTACTTTCTCTGTAATCTCTTTTATCAAACTTGCTATACTCCAGAACAGAAACCAAGCTCTTCCCCCTAGTCTGAATGCCATACCACCCCTCCACATATATACACATACACACATACACACACACAAACACACACACATACATTCCCCCACAAATCACTATGTTCAAACGCTAGCTTCCAAGGACACAGTATAACCAATCAGGACTTTGCACAGAGTGATTAGGTCTTGAGTAGAGCTCTGTCGTGTCCTTACATAAGAGACCTGAGATGCTAGCCCCTTCTACCATATGAAGACATCCATGAACCAGAATCTCTCTTGGCCCTGGGCCTAGTCTCCAGAACTGTAGGCAAAAATTCCCAGTTGTGCTACTTATTCCAACAGCCCAAATATTTTCTTTATTGTATTGTCTAGATATTTTACTGTCTCTGTTTTTTGAAACAGTGCCTGCTGCCTGGAACTCATTTGTATCAGGCTGGACTTGAATTCATGGACATCTGCCTCCTCTATCTCCTGAGTGCTGAGATTACAGGCCTGAGCCACATCAGGTACCCAAATACTTTCTAAACATTAAAATAAAGTGCCTAGAAGCTGAAAAGGATGGAAGCTAAAATGCTTCAATCAGAGGCTATAAATTAAGTCTTGGTACACAGCTTCTGAAACCCTACCCATACCTAAGCCACCCAACAGGGAGCCAGATGCTCTGAAGGCCCAGATACCTCCAACTTAGTTTACTAAGTCTGGCTACTTATGCAAATGTCCCCAAATGTCTCCAACAGGGAGGAGGTCCTTGTCTACTCAATTAGCTCTGAAAACAAAGGTGAGTGCTCTTGTCTTAGAGGTCAATCCACTGAAGGCAGCAGAGTTAATAAGATCCATTTAGTTTCACTTTGCCTGCAGGCACAAGGGGAGACTGTGTTTCCCAAGGGCTCTGGGAGATCTGGTTGTTAAACTGGAAGGAAGAGATGTTTCTCACTTCCTGGCCTACCCATAAGATAATCTCTTACATCTTCCATGTCATCGCCATTCCAAACTATGTTGGAGACAGTGAGAGGAGATGGCTTAGATGTACCAGACCTGCATTCTATATCGCAAAAAGGAATCTCTATGTCCCCGGTATTAACAGCTTCACAGGTTCGCAACATTAGATGCTGCGCTCTCTCTGCCTTCGTTCAGATGCTACGGAGAAGTACAAGGTTGATAACTGGACACTAGATAGACTTGGTGTTTCTCAACTACCCAAGCCCAGATATCCAGAGAATGAGGGAAGAGCAAGGCCAGAGAGGGGCAAGCCTCAAAAATACAGCTAACGGGCTGACCCTCAGAGGGGCAAGGCTAAGCTCTGGATAAATGACTGTTTCTCACTCCCAACCCTCCCCACAGAGCCTGCTAACTGGAGAAAATATGTAAGGCAGGTCTTTTTTTTTTTTTTTTAAGGATATTAAATCTATTATCTTTTCAAATCACAGGCTCTCTACATAAAGCACAATTTAAAGATTCAACTCTAGGCCAGTAAAATGCCTCACTGGGTAAAAACACTTGGTGCCATGGGCGCCCCAGCCTCAAGGACCCACGCTGTGGAACGGGAGGACTGACTCCCCAAAGGTATCCTGTGACTTATATACACATGCCGTGGCATGACCATGGCTACCCATCACCACATACCCAACAAAAAAATAAAATGTACGACAGAAAATGTTACGGTTCAATTTTTGTCTCTATTCATTGGCTTTTGTGGTGACAAGCGGCACAGGCTCTGTTTTCCCAGGTGTAATGGCAGTGCCAATTTTGCAAAGAAAACGGGTCCTAATACTACTTCAAAGCAGAGCTCCCCTCTTCCCTCAGGTTACCTGAATATATGCAAGAAATAGCCTAGCTGCATGCCGCTGGTGGACGGAACTAGTTCTTGTTTGAACCGATAGCGTTACCCACCTTGACTAACAGATCACGTTCTGCACAACATGCTGGGAAACTACCTACTCACTCATCATGCGCCTGGTTCATAAGCGACTGCTAACGGCAAGAGCTATGTTAGGTGCTTTTTATAGCTGAGAAGGATTCACCTGTTGGACCATTAGCTTCTCAAATTCCTCCACGATCTCAGGCAAGCTAAGCCATTTGACTCCTGGTAAAAGCCCCAGGGCTTTGCTGCCGATCCTCATCAGCAGTAAATCCATTTGTACCTGAGAGAGTAGGCCTGGGTGTAACACCTGCCAGAAAGAACCAGGAGACAAGACAGGGGATCAGGAGGAAACATCTCACGTAGGCTCCCCACGTTCTAAACAGCCAGAGTGCTTCTCATCAGAACAAAGGGAAGTAACCCAATACCCATGATGCTATTGGGTCCCCCCTCCTCAGAAGTAGCAAAACCCAAGTCTTTTTTTTTTCCTCCTTCAGACTATTCACACCACTGCTCCCTGAAGTCCAGAAATGAAATCAGGCCCTACTGTGGAGGAATACACCTTGAATCCCGGCACTCAAGAGGCAGAGGCAGGCAGGCAGATCTCTGTGGGTTTGAGGTCAGCCTGGTCTACATAGTAAGCTCCAGGACACCCAAGGGGCTACACATAGTATAAATCTACCTCCAAAAAAAACAAAGAAAGAAAGAAAGAAAGAGAGAAAGAAAGAAAGAAAGAAAGAAAGAAAGAAAGAGAGAGAGAGAAGAAAAAAGAAGGAAAGAAAAGAAAGAACAAACTTGAGCTGAAAAGCCTAGTGGTTCCTGCAATCCCTGCTACTTGGGAGAGCAATTAACATAGCAAGGCCTTGTATACAAATAAAGGCAGAATGAGGCCTAGCAATAAACCTCAGTGGTCGAGAGCTTGCCTAACATGTGTGAACAAAGTTTGTCTGTCCCTTAGGTTCAATCCTCACTGAGAGACAGAGGAGGGG